AAATCTTTACATATTTTTGCAATGCTGCATGCTGCTGTCACGTTTCTTTTGCATGGCACATGCCAACTTGTCAACTTAGTTTAGTTTTTACGCAGTGCTTAACTCTTCAAAGGGACCCTGCGACAGTTTTTGAGCGTGGTCAGAAAACACTGCCGATCAGCAGTGGAGGCTCCTGAGTACGTGCGATCCAAAGATTTTAGCACAGCATGCAGCCTGAAATTTTCAATAAATTCTCAGTGTCAGCTAAAAATCGCTTTCTCTTCTCTCGACAAATGATGCATGTACACAAAAATCATTGCGTCACAGGCACAAGTTTGACACCTTAGCTGATTTGAGCATGGGGCTCTAGAGAGTTGCTGGGGCCGCCACGAAGAAGCCACAACCAGTCTGTATGTGCACACTGCGATTACACTGAAAAGTCAGGCATTCAAAGAAACGCACAAAGAAAGAAGGGCTCAAGATCGTGAGGTGCACGTGACATACCTTCTTCTCAGTACCATCCATCTCTGGTTAGTTTTCAGTGCTTTCAACAGGAAGAGAGAAAGCCATTGCAGCATGTAATGACATCTTTGTATCTACGGTCGTATTGGATCGATTCTAAATACTTTTGCAGCAGTCAATTAGTGAGGGCAATAAGCCCCTTTACTGAATCTGTTCTACGGCTATTTGCAAAATTGCCGCAGGGCCCCTTTAAGAGCATGAATGGTGGCATGCATTAAGTCAAGATGACGTAGGCTTCATGACGCCTTTAAGAATTTGTCATTTCCAAGCATATTGCATACTTCACGTAAATCTATTTGTAGTACAAATCTTAGCACTCTGCACATAACTGATCTTGGCAGGCGAATGCAAAAAAAGACGTTGAAACTCAAAGTTGAAAGTTTGCGCTTCGACTTAAAGCAGGGTGTATGCGAAAATGCCTATGTCAAGGAACTTTGTTCACTATTCATACAAATCTCATTCCATTTGTTTTGTTGGGCTCTTTATGCTTGTAAAGTCCATCATGAAAAATCAGTCACAGGTTAGTTGTGTCTCTGGTTGATCCAGCTAAAGGGTCGGTAATAATGTAACTTTCTCATCAGCAGCTTTTAATTGGTACCTGTTCCGTGCTTCTGGTGAATCAAAAAGTATTACAAAGGCTCTCGTGCATTACCTCAAGCTGTCTATTCTCTTAACTCATGTCGAAAGCCCGCACATTTCAAATCATCTACCATCTTCCAGTGAGTTGTGACGAAAAAGGTTTTTTCTTAAATCAAAGACAATTTTAAAGAAATTGACACTCCCTAAGCCTTTCTTATTGTACCCACTCATAGTTCACCATGTTTTGCATCATGGTTTCTTTGTAATTGTGCCATGTGATTCTTGACTGTTTAGGAATAGAAATTGCATGCAGCTGGCCTTTAAGTACAGAGTCTAAAAATAGCTGTAGCCAGACAAGTCACTTTTCTCTTCTCTTGCAGACCATATTCACTGCATCACCACACGTGCCACGTAAAGCTGAGAGTGTGACCACACTTTGGATATGCGTCAAGACATCAATAGCACATGTTGAATGCAACTGCTTTCTTCTTTGTTCTTAGTAACGTGTGAACCCTTTGAGTGTTAAATTATTCTAAAAAAAACTTTAACGAGCGGTAAAACTACTTGATTGCCGCGTTTTAATGTATCAAAATGTGTAGAGCGGGAAAAAAAATTGTAAAGAAAAATTAGAAATGATTTTTTTCTGTCGGCATCACTCAGAACAACAGAATGCTCACTGGTATTGCATTGCATGATAGTTCTTGAAGCACTGTCTGCACACAGCGCCTTATTGTCATTTACACACATAGCAGGCGTCTTCATTCTCTTCGTGGTGTCACAAGTTGTGCTGGCTGCCTTGGGCAGAATAAACTCGATAATCAAGGAGAGCGAAAATGCCTCACGAGGGCCGGTGACAAACAAGCTTAGAGAAGCACCAAAAGAGATGGAAATCAACTTCCACCACCCCTGTAAGGGGGTGTAGATAAACATAAAGATAAATTTTCGTGCATCTTCGTTGCAATCACTCAATGAAACCAAACGAAGCAAGAGCATTTCCCATCTGCATTGCCGCACACCATGCAGTGCACTGGTGCTGGAAATCAGTTACAGCACAACAATTTTCGAAGCTTCTTCTAGGTCTTTGTAGTTGCAGCACCTCCCAGTAAGCATGCAATGTCATTGCAGCATGAAATTCCAAACAGAGGGTTAAAAACATACCTGTACAACAAAGACGCTGCGAGATAGGAAATTGCCACCGGTCGTGCAAGGCAGAAGCACTCAGAGGTTTCATTAGACATGTTCTTTTTTGCTGTATCAACCAAAGCTAACGTCAATTACAGGTTTTCCCTCTCACTTTGATCCATGTGCCAGCTTTAACAATCCACACGCTATTGAAATAATCTAAGCGCCAACTATTTAATCCATGTGCCGATACATTTAATTCAATGCCAACTCAATTTGACCGCGTGCCAGCGAGTTTAATCCAAGTGCCACCATGTTTAATCCAATTGCCAACTGCTTTATTTCAGGTGCCAGTCAGTTTAGTCCATGCACCAGAAACACATGGTTTGCCACTTTATACAGTCTAATTGTCGGACTTATATTAACATAAAGCGACAGGAAAAACTTTTTGCTCGCTGTACATGCTAGCGGTTATGAAATGAGGTGCAGTGCTATATTCCCCAAACGTTTTGGTGTCATAGCTTCAAATATAAAAAAAACTTTATATTAATTGTAATAAAGGGTACCTAATGTATTCGCTCATAGAGTCTATGTAAGTCTATATGCTTCATTGCTATTGCATTATTCCAGCTAATCCTTTAAACCATCACATATGCAGAGACTCATGTCCTCTGCTCAGCAGGCGGATTGGGCTGTCGATTCGCTGAGGCATTCGCAGTGGTCTACTCAGCCCGGTGAGAATGATGGTGGCCGACAGATCATATTCTTCCGTTCTTGAAATCAGAAATAACAATTTAAAACTTTACTTGTATTCATTTGTGTTTATGTGGAATTAGGTTTTTATAAATGCATCAAAGGAGATACTGCTGTTTTCATGTAACAGATGACACTAATGTTGCTGAAGTGTTTTTACTTGAAATATGTGTGTTTCATTGGATACACATAATTTTATTTGAATAAAAAGAGAACAGTTAATATGAATGTAAAATAGTGACTTCCGATGTCAACGTCAGGACCATAGGCTTATGTCCTATGGTCACTGCAAGAAGAAACCATTGTCAAATTATCTGTAATTCTCTCTGCATCTTTGGGGGCCTCCTAATTTCTTGATTACGTACCTGCTTTTGACCCATTGCTGCTCACGGCCAGGTTTTCCATATCTTGGTATGCATTTCGGCACTCCAATAACCATTGTCTGTTTTTTGCATTTTATCGCCTGTCCCAGTAATGTAGTGCTATACAAATCTAATTATGAGCTTCAGTGACGAGCACAAAATATTCCTTAACATGGTCCTGCTTTTTATTTTCTTTCTATTAAAATGATTTCACGCGGGCCAAGCACTCATATAAAAACTTGTACATAGCCAACACTGCTCACGCAAAAAACGGCAGTAATTTTTTTCACAAATACCAGCGGCTAATACAAATAGTAGTGATTTATTCTACTATGTGACTATCATCTTACATATTTATTGTAGGAACTGCATTTCGATCGTAATGCCATAATTGCGCCCCGTATCATGCTTGTTGTGCATGGATTAAACTCACTGGCCCGCGGCCTAGTTGAGTTAGCGCTTAGATTAAATATGTTGGCACTTGGCTTAAATGTTTGGTACATAGAATAAATAGATTGGCACTCCGATTAGTCCAATGACACGCAAATTTTTCAAGCTGGCACTTGGATTAAAGTAAGCGGGAAAATCTGTAGTATTCACAACGAAAGTAGCAAGTATTGTGTTTTTTCTCTTTGTGAGGAGTGTTTCTTTTTTCGTCTGCTATTTGTGTGAAATGTAAAATTTTAACCTGTACTGTTCCCCTGAAGGCATATTTTTCTCTTGCATTAATTCTTTTGAACTGCTTAAAATTTTTATAACAATGTTTATGAATTGCAACTAATGTTAGAATTACACGCATGTTTTGTCACAGTATATAATTAGAAATTAATTTGCATAAATTTCTAAGTCGGCTATATAAGTATTGATTATTCACTAAAGAAAACTGTGATGACATCAAAAACAGCGTTGCTTCTAAGTTCATGCATGTTTTCGACCACTTATGTGCTCTGCGCAACGGTTAGTAAATTGCATCGTTGTTGTGCATCTGTAAGGTGTTACTGCTCGTGAATTTTATATGTGTATCAGAAAAGGTGCATGTATTTAGTCAACTTTTCAAGGATTTATTCATTCTCCTCACTTAATATTTCATTGCAAAAGCCCCAAAGGGCAAGTGCTCAGTAGAAGTGTGAACACACTGCACCATTCGTGCCATGTTCCTGGTTGAATAGGGTCTTTTAGCAGTGCCAGTTCATCGTATATGAACTCTCTGACATTCTGGGTCTGCCCTTGTATGAGAAGCTTTGCATTGTTCAAAATTTGGTTCATACTTCCCCAGCATTTTAATTTGCTGGTCCTATTGCTGAAATGTTCAACACGCTGTTGACAGATTGATGCATTCTTTCCATAACAATATTAAGAAAGTGTACGTTTTTCCACATACTTCTTAGCAATGACTTTTTTGCCTTTTATCTGGTTTTGATCTTTGTAACCACAAACTTTAGTTTTCTGGACAGGGCATGCCATCTGATACTGAAGAGTAACTAGGAATGCAATGTATAAGCAGGTCAAGGCATAGAGTTTCATACAACAATACTTAGTAGGGAATCTGGCGCTAATGTCTATGCGGGCTCCTTCAGCGGCGCTTGTTACCCCCATAGGAACTATGGGAAGTACAGGCTTCTGATCCACTTAAAATGGATTACGTTCTTGAGATTCGTGACGCTTCTTTTCGGATTGTAAAACAAAGTGATATAAACTCATATTTATTTGAAACTTGCTTCATTTATTTGTACTCAAACTTTATTTCTAAAAGCTTTCGTGTTGAGGGGGCAAAAGTGATACCTGGGAAAATTTAAACCTGAGTATGCATTGCTCTGCCATTGCGTTCCAGATTTGGCATTAAGATTTAATTAATTATTTTTTACCACACATGAAAACAAGCATGATTGTTTTTCTCTTTGAAAATACACATTATGTATTTATAGAAATAACAGTACAGTACGTGTCAATTGAGAAACGCTTAACGTTTCGTCTTATGAAATGTTACGTGCGTCTGTCCAAGCAACGCCTCCTAGGAGGCATTGGTGCAAGTGGTCTGCCCCCAGCGCACCTCTGGTTTTGTTGTGAAGTCGAGTCAGCGAAGCCTGACGGTGCGTCTGGCTAGCTTCGTTATCTTTTTGTAGTCGATTTATAACGAGTTTAGGCATGGCGTGCTTGTGAAAAAACATGAACTCGGTGTAATATTCTGCACTAGCATGAGACTCTACATTTATTCCCAGCGATGAGTAAACGACACCTCATTTAAACTGTCAAATACGACTTGTAAAGATTCAATGTCGTGGCAAACTTAAGATCTACTGGCCTTAACCATTTTGGAACAACAATGATGCTGCTTCAGTGCTTTTCATCGCACCCCACTGCCCGTGCTGCACGAAAAACGAAACTAAAACTGTGGAAAAAAGTCTGTGAACAGTTCGCTAGCTAACCCTATTCATACCGAAGCCTGTACTTCCCATAATTCCCATGGAGGTACTCAATATTAGCGCCAGATTTCTCTCTAGGTATTATTTTATGAAACTCTATGGTTCGAGGTAATCAATCAAAATTCATTTGTAAGCAACCTGCTCAACTGTGTAACTTACAATTTTGCACAAGTGACTGAAGTTTACAAGGGAATGTATGCAGTGAATTTCAGTGAGATCCATACACGTAAAAAAAAGTCATCAGAGCTAACATTCAAGTAAGCATATAAAGTTCGTCCTATAAAGCCTTCAAGCAAATCAGCCCTTGTTTTGTGCAAGAAGCACCTCCCCATCTGTTTTAACGTATTGTTATGTTAAAGAATTTGAGTGTGCTGTAATGTGGCTTACGACTGACAGTGTTATTCTCACGTAACAATATCACTAGTGCACATAAGGAATTTCAGCACTGACAAATTCTTCGTTTATGCAAGCACATTTTCTTGTGAAAGCCCTTCAACAACAACGTTCCTCCTTAACCTTGAGCTCGTCCTGCTCATTTAATTTTCTTTTGTATACTCTAATTATATGCCCTCTTGTATTTAATGTTTCAACCTTCCCAAAGTGGCCAATGCACTCTGCTAAGGGATTTCCCCTCCGCCCCCACCACCTGTACTTGTGCAGGTCTTCCTGAAAGCCCTGGTGCCCTTTCTCTGGGCACGCACAGGCGCTGCCAGCTGCTGCAGTGTAATTACTGCCCATTTGTGAGCCGCTTTGAGAGTGCCATCCGCAGGCACCAGCTACGGCACACCAAGGAGAGGCCCCACCGGTGCGAGTTCTGCCCAAAGAGCTTCCAGCGCAGGTCAGTCTTGTGATACCTAATGAAACAGGTTGTCTTCCCGAAGGCTCTTCAGTGCACACCTTTGTGCATGATACAAGACCATTTTCGCGGAGTGCCCGTGTCTACAGAGAGACTTTATAGCAGCCATGTATGGCACTAGCACCACCTAGCAGTCATCGTTGGGTTTGAGATAAATATGATACCAGCGATATGAGTGGATATGTGGTGTGGCCACTCAATTTATTAGTATTCTGTCAGCATGTAGATCCTTCATAGCCACATGATTTTCCTTTTTTCTCTCTTGGCGTGCTTCATGTGTATCATAGAATTCATAAACAACCATGCACTGCTTTGAATTAAGCAAATTCATGGGCTACCTTCAAAGCTGAATAAATTTTTCACCCCTTATTCAATAAACAGTGTGCCCATTTTTTAGCAGAGGCAGTTGCTGTACAGATCTTTGACGGAGCAGTGACACCAACTTTCGGACTCGAGATGTAGCATTCATTCGATTCCTTGGTATGCATGAGCTTTTTAGCGGAGTATGAATGACGTGCATTACGTAGAAGTTATTCTGTTTCAAGCTAAAAGTGTATCCAAAGGCTCAGGAGCGCTTTCTCGGCCATGAGGCATAAACAGTATTGTGACGTATAGCAAGCTCCTAGGACACGTCTTAGGCAAGGAGTGATGATGAGTGAGTAGGGATGGCGTTGACAATTTTTGTGTTGTCATCACATTGTTGTTATGTCGTATCATCTGGGGGTGATGCCTAGCTGCCCAGCAACTGCTTCACTTGCTTCGTTTTGTTTGGTTAGTGCAGCGCATTCGTGTGAATCCAGTGTTTTCGTTGTGCCGCTTCGAGTGAAATATCCTGGAGTCATGAGCACAAAATGTGATTATTTGAAGCTATGGTCATCATGACACACACACAGTGTTTGTACGTTTTACCAGCCAGTGTGGATCCCAAGCATGCGTCTCAAGCTACCACGTGGTTACTCGGTCTAGCATTTATTTAGGAATCACTGCTTAGAAGAGGATCGAACCGAAAACGATTCGGCATGCTGCTAATCCCCGCGATTCCACATTTATCAGCGTTTTCATCGTCCCTTGTGGATGCTGATGACAGCAGTGATGACAATTGCGGTGGCTAGGACATGCCTATACTTGTGCGCGCTGAGCAGATGAAATGCTTACTGAAACTTGTGTCACCATTTCGTGTGGCCACGAGATCAGATGGGGTGGGACCATAGGAGGCGACTGCTTGGCAGCGCTGGCATCGCTATGAATTTGCAGGCTTTGCTCCCGTTTTGAATTGGTTTCGATACTGCTAATACCAATCGATACTTCATATATTAATTCATCCTTATGTTGCATTATTAGTACCGAATTATTACTAGGGGATCGATAACTACATGTTGTCACAAAATAGTGACATGCATCAAGTTGATGTCACTGCTCCTTTAAGGGGACACTAAAGAGGATCAATCACTTAGTTAAGATTGACTAACTGCGCTCTGAGAACACTTATGATGTATGTTTCACTATCACAAGTTCATTATTAGTGAAGAAAAGCAAGGTCGAAGTTTCATTTTTATGTTTTGCACCAGGATCTGTGCGCGTGATGCAAGAAATCTCAAAATGTCTTTTTGATATTTTTGTGGCATTGGCTCGACGAAATTTTCTGAAACTTCGTATTCTATGTCATTTGGCACCCACAGATTACAACTTACTTCATTTTTATCAATTGGAAACTACATAGGACCCTGTAGACACCTTCAAAATTTCTTGCATCACTGTGCTTGTTGTAAGAACTTCAAGTTGGTGTCGCGACACACTTTTTCTTTTGTCGCCTTTTCTCGCTTACTAAGCGTCGTGTCGCAGTAAGAGAGGTGTTTTCAGAATCGTGAAACTATACTTTACCAATACACAAAGAAATATATTGCTTTTAGTGTCCCTTTAACTATCTACTATAAAGCACTATGGACGAACCACTGGCATTCACAGAAACGAAGGGTGTTTCGTATGGTCACCATTGGCCGTGATGAGGCCTACAGGCCGAGGGAGCTAAGTTGCTATTTAGGCTGCAGGATTTCCACAGCATTTTCTCTAATCTTCTTTCTTCCCCCACACATGAAAATTTGTATAAGCTGTCTAGAGTAATCAAAGATGCTGTTGAGCTCTGTCATGGCCTCTATCAGAACTTAAGTTTGAAGGAAGAAATGAACACCGTACTATGCAAACAACTAGGAACATCATCAGTATATGTCAGGGTGTTTACTGTATTGCAACGTAACTTATTTCTGAAATTCTTACCCCTTCAAGTTAACTATAACCTCAAAAACAGAATACTAGGCTAATTAAAATGCTACAACGCACCCGGCTCGCACGGAATTTTTGTGTTTCATTGGTTTTGCAGTACACATTGGCAAAAGTGATGAATCGTAAGTCAAAAGTGCTTTTTTCTTTCTTGTTACCATGGTTCAGACATTCCTCCAGGTTGTTCTCATTGTACTAGTCGTCTTGTTTGTATGCTATGGTGACCTTGACCAAGAATCATTTTGACTAACCGTTCAATTAGGTCAGAAAAGGACAAGGGGACATGGTGCAGCTTTTACTTTCAAGTGAATTTTCGTTGTACACAATGATAACATACACTGGACTCTCGTTAAATAAAACCTGAAGGGACCAGGAAAGTGTGTTTTGTTTAACAGTAGTTTTGTTTACTGAGATCTTTTACAGGAGTGCAGAATTCAAACATAACGCAAGTACTTATCTAGGTACCCGCTATGACATAAGCCACCGTAACTTTCAATAACTAAGGAAGCACCTACCGTATTTACACGATTGTAAGACGAACCTTTTTTTAAAATTTGACAATCCAATGTTGGGGGGTCGTCTTAGAATCGAAATCGAACCATGATGTATTGTCATCTCGAATAGTTTCCCGCTCAACCCAAAGCGCATAGTTTTCCGCGTGCTTATACAAAAGCTTTTCTTTTTTTAGCATCTACTGCGCGCATTACGAGTGCCTTTATGACGAGCGCACGGCTCTTGAGGGAGCACCGGTAATCGATGGAAGAGCCGCCGTAGGGGGGTATCGGTAGTTGACGGAAGAGCTCCTCTTTGTGATACAATTTTCTAAGCGGGCGCGTCGCCGCGTGCTCCTGTCGCTTGTGTCCACGACCGGCTCTCTCGAGTCACTTCTGTCTGACATGAGTGCCGTGACATGAGGACGAAAGTTCGGAATCGGTGAATGTGTGGTGCGGAAGTGGCGGCTTCAGCGCGAGGAAATTTTCTCGTGCGACTCCAAGCGCCGTGGCTTTCGCGGGCCGAAGTCTGGCCGCTTTCCGGAACTAGAGGCGAAGCTTGCGGCCTACGTGAGTTTTTTTTTTTTTTTTTTTTTGAGATGCGATTTTGGGGGGGGTCGTCTTACATTCGAGTTGTCTTACAACCGTGTAAATACGGTAATATGCCACTGTATTTCTTATTCTGCAGATAAGTCAGGTACGCGCTACTCATGTAAGGCATTATGCCCTCTTTAGGATGTGGCTGATAACAATGAATGATGGCTGGGTTTTTTGTGATAGGTTGGAAGCATTCGAGCTACTTATCATGCAGTTCACATTGTGTGGCACCTGTTTTTATTTTGCTCTTCTACGACACTATATTACTTATGTTAACATGGTTCCTTGCCCGACGTGACACTGGTATAGAGTCTTTTTGTGAAGAAATTTATAGAACCAACATCTCTCTTAGACAGGATACTTGACGGCTACACAGAGGTCTCGGGTTCAAGTCAAATGCAGTCCTAGTGCCTTTTTTATTTTTTCTGACAGCTTAGTGGTTGTACGGACAACAGTGTTGGCAGTGAATTGATTGATTAGTCGGGTTTCACTCCTACTCACCCTCATCAGTACTCACTCACTCTACTCACCCTCATCAGTACTCACTCACGTTCATACTCACTTATACCCACACTAAGAGTACTCACTCACGTTCATACTCACTCTTACTCACACTCATGAGTACTCACTCGCATTCAAACTCATGCCGACTCACAATCTAGGCCCTGACTCACGTTCGTTCGTACTCATGACTACTCGCACTGATGAGTACTGACTCATCAGTACTCACACTCACCACGTCCAAATGAGTATGAGTGAGTCTGAGTGAGTGTACTCATGAGTGAGTATGCCGAGCTATGGAATAGTATACAAGGCTCTTAACCATCATCACTGTCACTTTAGTCATGGCCGAGAGTGCAGAGTGGCTGCTTATTGTTGGCAAGGTAGGTGGTAGGTGTCAATGCAGAATAACAGGCACCGCCGGTGATGTTGTTATGAGGTTTGTAAAAGAGGTTTATTTGTAAGAGCTGGACGGTGAGTGGTTGGTTGGTTAGTTGTTCCTCAAAGTCCTGGCGCAACCCATTAGGGGGGATCGGCCATGAAACAGGCGGTGCCTCATTTGTGAGATCAAATTAGTTTACCAGGAGATAAGGCTGTTTAAACAAAGAACTGATTGGTAAACAATAGATTAGAAACAAAATAAGTTGAGGTAATAAAGAAATCAAGGAAGCTAATATGGTTTGAAGTAAAGTGAACTTATGCCTAAGCTTAACATTCTATTCGTTTTGTCACCTTTAGAAAATCGCACACGGCCTCGCAAACATTCCTGTTGCTAAATTCTTTTTCAGTTGCTCCAAAGGAAAGGACCATAAGTATCTACTGGGGAGATTTTTGTAATTATTAGGAAATATATTGTGAAATTCTATTTTCATTGTTTGAATTGGTGTTTTAAGTACCAGTACCTCATGAAGGTCAACTTGTAATGTTTCCAAGAGCTTCTGTACAACGATGACTTGTGGTTGCTTTAATCTAGACCACTGTTGGTTAAAAAAGGATGCCAGCTCATTAATGAAAATATGTTGCGACCTCCTCTGTGGGGATGTATATATTTTTAGGAAGGTGCGAACGGCTAGTATTTGGAACCTAGCACGAAGAGAAGGCAGGTGCGCTTTCTTATATAAAGTATTACTTGCGAGAAATTCAGGAAGGCCAAGACATAAACGTAACACTTCACATTCTAGTAGTACCAGCGGTCTATTTTGTAGGCGGGTGCTCCAGAAAATAAGGCACAGCCAAACTCCTATATTGGACAAATATACATACAATATATCATGACCAGCACATCATGGCGTAAACGAAAATGTTTATTGCTGAGTCTACGAAGCACCCCAAGCACTCTGTGCTCCTCTGTTGTTGCTGCTACTTGTTCGCTATGGAATAGACCCACTGTAGCAATATTTTGAAAAGTGAAGCTGAGGGCCCAGAAATTTACCCGCTGTTAAAGATGCCCATGCTAGATTGATGGTAATAATGAGGAAGAGTGGCCAACATTTTTAGACATAGTCTTTTTTGTTCATTTTTTTTTTCACTTCTTGCAATAGCGGTTACGAACAGTGGTGGTGGCAGTGGACAATCTACCCCACTGCCACTACCATTGTAAAACCATTGCCACTGCAAATACCAGGCATGGGGTGATTTAAGATTTTTATGCACTCTTAGACATGGAATATTTTATCCAGTAAAGCAATGGACGTCTAACTGGACACCTTACAACCCTTTCTTATCTTTTATAAAAAGCACCTCTATAATTTCTGTGGATATTTTTACAGAGTTCCTGAAGAGTGCATATGTTTTATCAAAAAAAGGTTTTATCTATCAAGAGACCAGCAGGTTTTATCTAAGCAAGCAGGTTTGATTTATCAATCGCTCGGTTAGCCAAGATGAACCTACATCAATGTGCTCAATATTCATCCTATCTGACCAAGCATTTGTGACTCCCTTTATTGGGGGTAGGATGGGAGTGGGCAATAATGGCGACACATCTGAGCCCAATGTGTATCAGCTGTGTGGTGCAGCCTCCCTCATGATATGCTTGTGTGCACATTTAAGAAGTGTTTGAGACGACTGACTTGCAGCTTTCCTGCCTCTTTTGAAGGTATCAGCTGACTCAGCACATGGCGATCCGTCATGGCACCAAGCCGCTACCAATTACTCGGCAAAAGGTGCAAGACTTTGGTGACCACATGGCCTCGCTCGATCCCGCTAATGACTTGTCTGAATTCAAGTGGATATGAATGTAAACATGTTCCAATTCTAAAGGAGGGCGCAAAGAAATCGACCGAGCCGTGAGGTGTTCCAGACGGGCGGTTGTCAAGTCTTCCAAGGTTTTGAAATGCCGGTGAATCCTTGAATTCTGACTGTGAGACCTAGTGCATTTGATGTTCCAAGAAGCTTTGTACGAAGCTCATTAATGTAAATACATTGGGCTTGTACAGAGCTCGTAGGTGTACATACATTGGGCTCCGTCCATACTGAATAAAAAGTCTTTTCGTTGAAAGCTTTGTTAAAGCACAAAGCATTGCAGCTGGCAATGCTGATTTGGTTTTAGTTTGGATAGTGCGAAATAGGGTCAAATTTGGCTCTACTTAATTTCTCACTGCACAATGTGTGTGCGTGTGCACGAAAGGCTACCAATAACTCTCTGCAGTCACAGTGTTTATAAGTGCTCACAATCGTGGCTTACTTTGCATCAGGTTGGTTCTTCACCATGCTCTAAACTGAGTAATAACCGAGCCATTATTATAACTCTCACTTCAGTCACTTTTGCACGATTAACAGAGTTCGCTGTCTTTTCTTACCTTGTCAAGCACGAGTGGTTTGATAAGTGGCTACTTGACTACCACTTAGAACACTCCATGGAGTGCATACAGTTGTTGAAAAGCTGAGCAAATAAATGCCAAAGGGTAGCTCGTTATCGTAACATAACAGTATTTTTGTCAAACAAAGTTCCTTGAACATATAAGGTTGACTACTTAGACTATTAGGTAGACTGCTGCTGTTTTCACATGCTGCAACATCCAGCAAAGATTGAGGTAGTTTCGATGCCAGACATGTTCACAGAGTACCTGTATGTGACTAACCAGAAATCAATAGGTTTTTGAAATTATTTGAATGCTTTGAATTAAATTTAAGTTATTATAAATTTTCAAGTATTTGAAACGAACGAATAGATGATTATTAAGCTGTGTGGAATCCCTGTAAAGGTGGTTTAATTGCAGTGGAGGGGTGCTTACCCATGAAAGCACCTAGCCAGATGTCTATATTTAGTCGGCATGTAATTTTCTGTAAACGTGGTATTCACTCCTTGCAATATATTTTCACGATGTTAAGCCATGAAAATGTAGTCTAGGGAGAATCTGCACTGGCACGAAGCTCCTCTTCAAGGTTAAATGAAGCGATCACCCTGACATCGATTTATTTTACAAGTTTAAAAACTTGTTCTACTGACTTATATGCTTTAAGTATAGCAAATTTTAAAACATAACATACTTTATAGGTTATCAGCTTGTATTCTACCAGAAGTCATGTATCCTGCTACAATTCAAAGTTGCCTCCACTTTCTTTGATGTAAAAATAATGACAATTACACAGGCCTTGTTTCAGTTTCAAAACTTATTGTGCATATTATTTAAGTGGATACTTTAAATTAAGTGGATACTTTAAATTAAGTGGAACTAAAAATATGTCAATATTTCTTTATTATATAATATGCAATATGTGTAATGCTTGATTCGAATTTATTTGGCCAAAATCAGTATTTGCTTAGAACTTGAAATGCACTATTTGCACGAGCCTAAATCATTGTCAACATTCTTTTTTTTCTTTTCAAGCAAACTGGAACTGATAGTAGCCTGCTGTATGCAGTAGGGTAAATACTGCTGAAAAGTGCATTTCACAAAAAGTTGCCGCTTTGCCTGAAGGCAAGATATCGATAAGCGTCTAACAGTCATAAAAAGAGCTAGATTTATCGTCCCTGTACATGGCAGTGAGCATTTATGCACAAGTTAATTCACTCACTATGGTGTGAATATGTGCACAGGCAAACATGAGCACATTTCATCTTACAACTGTGAACTTTGATTTTCATATTGCTCGCACGGTGAGCCGTGCTAACAGAGGTGAGCAGAAAGTTGCAGCATTAGATGTGTAGAGGGATGCTGTAAGAGAAGAGGCTTGCATGAGGCCCTCAGGTTGCTCAACCCTTGGAACGAGCATAGATTACAATCGGATTGGGTGGGCACGCATTAGAAGAACATTTTTTTCGGAAAGCCTTTGCTAAAGTAGGGGGCATCATCATTTACATCATTGACATCGTTTAATGCTGGGCTGACTGAAAGAGGTACTCACGCGTCCAGCCCCCCACACCGCCCCGTCCCTGTCAAGACTGCATGCTCTTTCTCATGCTTTCTCTCAACTCTGTATAGTTGGCGCATGTGAGATGCAGTGAAGTCTGTTTCACACTTTGACTGTAGCCTTGTAGTTACGCCATACGTACATGGCATATCACTCAGATTTAAAAAGGTTGTGGCCAGGATTAATGCCAAACTGGTCTGTTCTGCACTCAGCACGCTCACAGGTCGTGCTGAGTGCAGAACAGGGTTGTGCTGAAAGAGGGGTGTGCTGCTTGGCACAAAAAGGAGGATTTGCAACATAAAACATGTCAAGAAATACTGCACGTGTAACACATGTGCAGTGTATTGCAGTACCTTTAAGTTGTGACAAGTTTTGCATTGGACTAGTCTGGTTGATGTATCAATGATCAGTTGAGGGAACATGAAAATATTCTATTTTCAGGCACTGGCGTAACTTGCATTTGTATTGCAAGTTGTTTGGTTGAACGCCCCTGTTTGATAAGGTTACAATTTTAGGTAAGGCTAAGATGCAGCGAGAAACGAGAAATTGTTAGGCATTCCATATCTGGAAACTTCATCCAAACAAATGTGTTAGTGCAGCTTCAGTTTTTCTCACCAGGAAAGAATGTTTCTTTCTAGCACAGAGGTGTTCTGCTTAGATTAGCTTGTTTTTTTATGCCTTGTTTTTTTTGTTATCTCCACATGTGCTGTACGGACCTGGGAGGAAGGGTTTTTTTTCTAAATAAACGTCATTTGTTAGTGCCACATCTCTGCTCTGTGTGTCTGTTTCTGCTGCTCTGGATTTTTCCGATTTCAACGTTTCGTGGCTTCATTCGTAGTTAACTAAGTATATAACAACTTGCCCAACAAGCAACTCTCCTAAATGGGGAACTAGGGCTGGAGTTTACGCTGACATGTAGCGCCACCCTGTTGAGCGTGGTCAGAAACATTCGGGCATACAAACAAATGCCAACATGAACCATGCCGCTGTGCATGATGATCGGACGAGGATATACGAGCTTCGAGACCAGTGTAATTGTATTCACGAATGCCACAACCAGAAAACGTTTTTATAAGAGCAAATAATGATCGACAGTACGCATAGTTGACAGCCTCCGGCGTCAACTTCCACCAATGCACATACATTAGCGCTATGGATAATATCACAAGCCTTTATGAAAACTTGCCTTGAAAACGTTGAAGGAAGCACTTGAAAACCTAGGTTGTGTAAGCACCGTGCTGTATATTACACACACCATATTTATTTGATTGTAACATGAGCACGATAGTAACGCGAGGGGTGACATTATAACAAAAATATGAAGAAAACGTCATGTCACATACGAGTAAATAAGGTATTATATCCGACTGTCACGTGCACACCTCTAGACTGGTTTCAAGACAATGACTTGTAAAAAAACCATGATGACCTAGGCATGTTCTATTACTGATCATGCACTGCATGTCAACCACGGAACTATGACAAAGTCAATTACCGGCGGGTTGTTCAAAGACGTTTTTTGTAAGTATTCAGGCTAGACGTCGGCCGGCCGCAAGCTTGCAAACGGTCTGTGGACAAGGGCGAGTCGGCTGCGTTAAATCACAACCACTGCGACATGTTTGCACATCCGCTAACACCTCTAGTATCTGCTTTACACTAGCCTTTAATGTGTACGTTACCTAAGATATTCGTTTTACTATTGATGGTCTGCTTCAAAAACTTGTTTTTAAAGACTTCAATACGAGAATATTGTGGGTTACATGCTAGCCGTTAAACACGTAAAATAAAATGCGTGCCGAAACAGCTTTCATAGTACTATATAGTGCAAGAGCTGCGGCTGCCACTTATGTGAATGTGATGTCCTCGCTCAAAATGACTGTTGCTGGGCGGAATGTTACGTCAGTGCTGCCTGAGGCACTAATTTTATTTCAAAGCAAGCGTATAACGAGCGACCTGCACATCGACGTCAAGCTTTGCAAACGCAATTTGAACACACTTGCCTGTAAGTTTACGACGTATATTGCTTGGCACTACGTAAAAGGTCACACCGTTTATTTCGCATCATAGACGTACTTTACATCGGACAGCTTCCGTGCTTTCGACACCACAGTCTCGGGAACGTATCTGGTCACACTTGCCACATCACTGCTCACCTGCTTCAATGCAGTTTTCAACAAAGTGTCCAAATCTTCAGTGCTCTTGCGCATTCTAAAGTACCTGCAACACGACGCGCATCAGGAAAAGCTGGGGTAGTGCTGCACGGCATTCACCATGCGTTCCAGCGCGCACGACATGTACGAGGGCACTGCCCTTAGTACGCCTTGCTGTCCTTCTAGCTTGTTCGCCGCCAGTTTGCCAGGGCGGTGCATCGTGTGAATTTTAGGTAGGGTGCCTCAATGCCCATGCGCTCCGCTCAGGGTAAAGACAGGTGCGTCGTCTGCTACGACGGCCGCCATTTTGCCTGCAACCACTGCTGGGTATCATGCGAAACGTGCTACAGAATGCGCTTGCAGTGCGCTGATAGGTTTCGTAACAAGTGTACAGCAGCCCTTAGGGCTGTTGTTGGTTAAATTCTTGTTAAGGAGTAATGTACCCCCAAGAAAAAAACTAATGGGCTGTGCATACGATATGCCCCACAGATTCATGTATATATAACTTCGTTGTATTTAAAACGAATATTCTTTCTTTGGTCCTCAAACGAGGGTTTCGCTAAACTGAAACGCTTAGTTTTTTTTTTTTTCATGAATTTCGCAGTCTACATACACCAAGAGTTAATTAAAGCAGTCATATACATGTCAGCAGCAGTGGTATACATATACCAACGCACAAGTTTCGATGTTGTGAAGCTACCCAAGAGTAGTCATGGTGGGTGTTCTTTTACCAAGTGTAATAGAAACATGTGTTTTTTAATGATTACAGGGCTTATCAGATATTTCCTTTAAGTGGTGTGTGTGTATATATATATATATATATATATATATATATATATATATATATATATATATATATATATATGCACACACATACACTCAAAAAAATAAAACGAACTATGGCAGACTTTTCTTAGGACTGCCACTGTTTGCTTCACGGCAATCGTGAATCAGTTATGAGAAAACCAACTGCATACTGAAATAGTATTAGATGGGGAATGCAACAACGAAACACGAAAACAGTGAATGATAAAAAACGTTTTTGAGAGAGCACTAGCTTGATTGTCGTTCAAAAATTTCAACTTTTCAAGAAATTCATTGTCTCTCTTTCGAATTTTTCCACTTTTTTCTTGAGACTTTTAACTGTGTTCTTGGCAGTGGTATCATGTTGCTGATGTTGAGCATACTTTCGCGTAACATTTGTAAGCTTTTTCTTAACATCAGCTTATACTGTAGTAGCATTTAATGTTTCATCAGCCGAATCTTTGACTTCTCTTGATTTGCATCACTAGCGTTTGTTGACAGTTTGCAAAGTGCGATGCGGACTTCCATGGCATGGTGTTTTTAAAGCATTGTTCCTTGTCGTGAAGATGTAGCTGGAGATTGACACAGCCCCAGAGCAGTCTTGATGGTCTCTTCACTGAATGGTGCGGACGCTGTTCTTTCCTTTATTGGTCTTGTTTCCTTAAGCAGTGCTGCAAGCATAAACGTATTCAAGTAATGCCAATTTGTGTGAAGCCTGTTCTTAGGTTCATAATGTGAGAAATGCATCTGGTACTGGCATCGTCAATAGCACTATGCCACAGCTACTGCGGCGGGTCAGAAATGCCTAGAAACGTTGAAATTGACTAATACATTTTCGAAGTATGAATTAATTTGAGCACGTCCTGAAGTTGCATTGGTTTTAACCTTATAGAACTTTCAGATTTATACAATGCTTGTAATCGATACTGTTTTATGTCATTGAAAAGCTAAGTTGACTTTTATCATAAGCTTTCACTTACGCCTGAACCTGAACAAAGTTAGGACTGCATTCGGTTTCAACATTTTCCAGCCATCTGCACATATTTGTTCATAGTTGTTCAATTCGAAATGAACATGCAAAAAAAATTAAAATGGTATGTTGACAGCATGGTATGACAAAAAGGACTGCCTGTCATTGTGACTGAATCTATACTAGTGTATGCGGTATGGTTTATGGCAAGAGCTATAGCAGTGACTTGGACAAAAGAATTAGGAGCTGAGTTCACGTCAGGCCCACAACCAGAAATGTTTTTGTGGCAGGGGAAAGAGGGGTCTTTTGCTGAAGGCTTTGACTATTTTAGAAGCCACCCCTTGTTATTTATTTTTGGTTAAACGCCCTTCTCTCAAAATATCGGCTGGCCGACGAAGGGCCAGGGCTTTTAGCACCTCATTCGCATTTGTGGGCTTGGCTCGTGTGTGCTTTCATGAGGTCATGAACCTAGTCAGATGCTATGATAACGCTTCGAAGTTTTGCAATGAAAGTTTGTGCAAATGAAAAGATATCAGACGAAGGACTAGGTTTGTGAAAGGCGACTATAAGGTGGTAGTTGCAAATTTTGTCAATCAAAAGCTTTGTAACTGAAGCTGTAATTTCTAATATTGCAGTTGACTTTTAGTTCTCTCATAAGAATAACACGACATAGTGCTTACATTGTTAGCCAGGTAAAAGCCATTGCTGCACAAATGTACAGATGGTGATACAAAAAAAAAAGCAGGCGCAGTACCAGCCTCGCAACATTACGCATTTTTAGGGGCGAAGCTCCTTAGGGCGTGGGCTGTGCGTCCCCTGTAGCCTGTATGTAGCCACCTCTAGTTTAGTTCTTGCAGTGTTCACTAGATGGCGGTACCGTCTCCTGTATGTAGCCACCTCTCGTTTAGTTCTTGTAGTGTTTACTAGATGGTGGTACTTGTAGCTGATGATGAAAAGATGCAAGATGTTATAAACTAGAAAGCGGTACTTGTAGTTGATGAAAGACGTGAGATCTTATAAAATAGGAATGATGTCACATATGGCGCGTGTCATTGGTTGAAGGCAATCGTTCGATTTAGTGCGGTGACGTACGCTAGGGGGAGCGTTGTAATAAAATCCGTTCGCTGTTGGCGCGCGCTCGGAGTCGCCGGATGGATAAGGCTGCACAGCGGAGAGAGCGCAAGGCGGCAGCAGCGCGCGCTCGCAGACAGAATCCCGATGTGCGAGCGCGCGAGGCGAGGGACATCGCAAGCCATCCATCGTCTAAGAACAAATAAAAGTTGATTTGTGTATATACACACACAGCGTTTCTCACGTCTTTACATGATGATCGACTGGGCGAATTACACGGAAGATTCACAGTTCACCGATGAATCCCTCCGGAGCTTCGCCCATTCATCATCATTCACCCCGTGAATATGCCGTAATTTTTTTATATTTCGCAGGAATGGCATAAGTATTGTATTCAATTGCAGTGACCTTGGTAGAGATTCTCAAATGTTGGTCGATTCAGGGGAACATGTGCACGAATAAATAAGCGCAGCAGCCAGGGCAAAACTTCTCCACCCAATGACACGGCTATGTAACACGTAGCAATACTTAAGAATGTATAAGTGTACTCGAAGCTCTTTGACCAATACAAAATGCCGACGGGAGTGCTTTTGTACCCCATAAATACACCAGCTTTCTATCTGATGCATATTCTTAGAGCAAAGTCACTCCACCAAATGACCAATGTACTCTCAGAATGCTGTGGACAGTACGCTGCACGATGTTTGGCTACCCGACGTATGCCTACACTTTCAACTAAGAAATTATACAGTGCCAGACAATATTGACTCA